GCAGGAATGAAATGGGTTTAAAGCAGTGAGTCTCAACCAGGGTGCCACAGAGCTCCAAGATCCTTTGAAGGAAGTGCTGAAGCGAGAGGCAGTCAGTGAGGTACAAAGAGATAAACAGATATGCACAAGTTCAAGCTTGACCCTGACCGGCCAGTCCCCCATTCCCCGTGCCGGTCCCCTCTGCAAGGAAGTAAGCACTGTAATATTAGTTTCTGAAATTGGGTGCCACTCAGTGCACAAAAGGAGTGGAGGGTGCCTCAACTCCAAAGAGACTAAGAACCACTGAGTTGAGAGAAAGCCAGTAGTCCTAAACCAAAGGCATGGCTACAGAATGGAAACAACAAGGACATATACACGGGGGAACAAGGTGTAGGTGAAAACAAAGCACAAACAATAATCCCCCCTTCCCATCCCAAAAGTTACACTAGGGTTAAGCATGCAGACAGCCCAAATGGCTTCTATCGCGTGATCTGAAATAACTAAACAGCAACCCTCCTCTCCAGGTTCATGCAGTTCCTTAGTCATCTTCAGCCTAAGTAGAATGGAAATGTGCCACGTGCTCTAGCCAGCTCTCCAGTGTCTCCAATCCAGGAAGGGAGCAGAGACCAGATCGTTTCAACCATGATGGAGAGCAGGGGTCAAGTACAGCTCTGACTATTTACCAGAGAAGTGTTTTCCAATGATTTTAGCCCTGTTCCAGGATTGGGTATTTTCTTTTGTTAAAAGCAGGAAGAGCACACACCGACTGCTGCAGCTTCCTGAGCCTGACGAAGGGTTTTTGAACCCGAAAGCTTGCTTAATAACTATTCTCCAACCATTTGGGTTGGTCTAATAAAAGATATCAAATTCACCCAAGGAACCTTGTCTGCCTATATCCTTAGACCAACACAGCTACAACCTAAACCCCTGAAATCTTGCACCGCTCTTATCCTGTTTCTCCCATTATTTCTGTGTAATGGGGTTTGTAGCCACGCCAAGGGTCCACAGAGCTCTGCCATAACAATGTCTGGTTGCAAGCACAGTGTGGTCATAACCCACATGGTAGGAAGGCCTCACGTGGAAATGTATATCCGTGCTCCTCACCTCTGCTGCCTCCACCTGCTGCTTGATGATGGATGGATCGATGCCTGGGCTCTCCAGGTCGTGCACAATGTCCTGTGTGTCTTTGATGGTTGTCAGGAGGGCTGCCATGTCATACCAGAACTTCTCTGCCAGTTCCAAGACATCAAGGAACTTTATTTCACGTTCCTCTGCTCGAGCTTTGATGTCTTCCCAGAAGAACACCATCTGATCCAATTTATCCTGGATTACTGAGGGGAAAACAAACCACAGTGAGTAAGGACTCCTTATTCTAATCCTGTTGTGAGCAAGAAAACCCGATTACTAACCAAAGTATTTGCATACAAATGCTTCACAGCTAGAAACATCTGACAGAACATTCGAACAAGAGTTCAAGATGGCCAAGACTATCAGAATATTCATTCACAAAGAAGCCAGAGGATATGAAAAACGCCGAGATACTGCAACAAAATCTTTATATAGCCACAGAACAGCGCTACCATAGGCAACTTTAGGACAAATTTGCCCGTACGCTCCCTCCAATCAAACTCCGCCTTCTCTCCTTCTAGCATGAAATCTCTGCACTCGGATAGCTTGTGGGCTTGCTGTCAAGACTGCCAGCAAAGGTGCCAATTACTGTCAGTTGGGTTTCTGTGATGGGGACATTTTGCCCCCTTGAATTAGGGACGGAGCTGATATCAACATCTTGCATCCCACTGGCCACTGAGAGCTGTCACACAGGAACAGCTTGTGGTTACCATTGAAATGGGCTGGGTTTGAACCTATTCCTGAGCCAAAGGCTCCTCTCAATACCATTCCCCTAGGAATCAAAATAAATCAGGGCAGCCTACAGGTATAAAACACACCACCCTTGCCATAACAACTACTATATTTAATTGCATAGCATGTGCACCTTTTCCCCAAAAATCAGCTCCCCAAAACTAGGGTGCATGTCTTAAATGGAGAAGATGATTTTCTGACTGGAATAGAAGCACTCTGCTTTGATTCCTGCCCACAGCAGCAGTGGCATTTCTATTCAGGCAGCTGAGGGAGTCAATTGATGTAATGGTTCTTCATTCTTCAGGTGTTAACGATCATCTCGCTTTCAAATGGTCTTGATGTTCCACTGATCAGGCTAACCTTTCTTCTGGCAATTTTGCTATCTTTTAGCTGCGACTGGTCTCTCTTCTCCTATTTCACAGCCTTGCAAATGATTTTTAGCTCTTTTCAAAATCACAGATCCACCCATGGAGAACAGTCTTGGGAGGATGAGTGAGCTGAATATCAGGCTCTAGCCCTGCTCTATGTAGCCATAACTCTCAAAAAATCTTTTCTTCTGCCTTGCCAAAAACAAGATGCACATCATACTTAGGGGGTGTGGTACGCAGGGGAAATGTGGCATATGGGGAAAAAAAATGCAAAAACCAAACATGCCTGAGATGCCTAAGCCATACCTTTTGCTGCAAGGTCCTTGTCCGCTCCCTGCGACCGTGCAATCAGCTCCTCCCCACGGCGTTTCAGTGCCTCAAAGGATGGCTGCAGCTTCTCCAGCTCCATTGTGGCATTTTTGTTGTCGCTGATGCACTCCCGGATTTTATCGACTTCTGCAGGGATTAACGGCGGCACGCGCAGCCGAGAGGAGAGGTTCTCCAGCGTCTCCAGCATTGGCTCGATCTTATCATGGAACTGGAGAGAGGCATGTCCATTAGGCAGGTCAGATAAGATTGATTAAGCAGGACTGCATTATTCCCACCAAGCACAGCATGCCCTGAACATTACGCTCAGCGTTCTATCTGGTTAGAGAGAAATATCGCTCCCTGTAATACCAGTTCCACCTGCAGCTTCCAATTCGATTCCTGGCACTGGTTTTATTTGTCACTCGCAGCTATATGCCGAGTTAGACAAGATCGCAGCTAGATCAATGTACAGAATAGACAAACAAAGCCATGAACCAAACACAGCAGCGATGTGTCGTTATCCCGCAAACCACCCGATTCCAGCATACCTGGCACCCCTCAATTAGGAGATGTGCAACAGGACCGAATCACACCAGATCCAATACGCGTGCAAACACGCAGGTGGAAATGTGTGTGCGTGCGTTTGGTGCAGACCAGAGCCCAGTGCAATTCTAGCCTAGAAGCCATCCCGACACAACTGCAGCAAGACGGTAGAAAGCGTATGCGCATGCAAATGGGAAAAACAATGGGGTGCTACAAGTGCTAGGCCTTCAGCTAAGCAAAAGCAGATGCCTGGGCTTAATGGGAAAGGAAGGAGGCTTGGCCACCTGTTAACTTTAGCTTTACAGATAAAGAGCTGCAAGTCAGAATGAAAGGAGGAGCATAAGGAGAAGTTAGTATTCTAACTTGCTGTATGGGCCAGGGGACTGGCGCTGTGATTTTCTCAGCTCGTCATTATGAGAGAGGGAACAACAAGAAGAAAAGGGGTTCTAGGTGCAAAACGGCTTAGCGCAATAAGCATGAGCCAACCAACCCAGCTCAGCTAGGGCAGCAAGTTGTACGCGTGAGCGTAGACCCCTTTTACAGTAAAATCCTCTTTGTACAGAACATGTTCGTTCTAAGCAGAAGCTCACTGTACGTGAAGCTGCAGGCTGCATTGCAATGATAGAATTCAACGTGAAAGTCATTTCAGCACAACAGGTTGTTCTCAGCAGATTCTGCTGTATAGAAATGTACACTAGAAACCTGGGTATAAAATAAATTACGACGCTAGGCCAAAAAATGAGTATGTAAATGAGCAGCTAACTTGGTGAGGCTTACCTCCGTAATCTGCAATGGTGGGGCGCAGTCAACACAACAATGAAATGGGACCATGTGGGGAAGACAGGAACAGGCAGCAAAACACAGAGATAACACATTCCACAATGTGAGTGAGAGATGAGACGTGAAGTGTATTGTGGGGGGGAGGGGAAAAACTCGGAGTTAATACAAGTGCAAACCCAAAGAAGTGACTAAACAATACAGATATTAAAAAAAAACCCAGACACGACATAAAACCTGTGCTACAGTCACTGTAGTTATTGAAACACAGCTGCAACCTCTAATCCCCGGGGCATGCAAGAGAAGATCTTTAGATCCTTGCTGAACTCCAGTTTGCACGATCCCTGCCCTTCCCTTCACACTGCTCTTTTTTCCACTTCACTGCTCCTCAGGAGATGCCCATTTACAAGGGATGATGATTAACTCTCCCATATAAAGGATCTTGTCGCTGTTCATTACACGCACAGAAGCTTCCTCCTTATTAGGAAACAGCCTCAGCTCTCTCAGCAATTCTTAGTGTCTCTCTGGACCCTTCCAGTTTGGGCACATGCAAAAAAAAGCCTTTTTAATGAGGAACATTATTGAGGCTGTAAAAATTTACAACCCTATTTACCCCCTCAGGATCCAGCGCTTTCAGCACAGCATTTGCAAAATCTACCAACAGAAGCCTTCACCTCTACCTCAAGTACTGTGCAGAGCACCACGGATGCCCCGGCCTGCTGACAAGCACCTTCTCTGAGCACAGACGATGCTACGTCATGGTAATAGGACAAAACTAAACTTCCTGGCCTGCTTTCCCAGGGCCGGGGAAGCAATAAACATCACAAAGGCAAGCTCCGGGCAAGCTTTGTGCGCAAGGAGCAACGTACCTGAGTGGACTGGGACACAGCTTCATCTAATGCCAGAGCCCGCTGGCACACCTCCTCCTTGATTCTGGCGTACATGGCCTCTGCTGTCGTGTACTTCTCCTGCACCATCTCACCTTCCTCAGGGTTGAGCTCCTTGAGCTGCGGTCCAATTTTCAGCAGCTTGTCAATATGAGGCTTATGTTCGGCAATAGACTCCCTCAGTTGCTAAAGAATGGGAACACAGATATAGGGTGGTTTGAGTCTGAATCCACGTGATATGGTTACTTTGTACAATGTCCGTTCGACTGAAAATTCATGCTACAGATACTCCAGGTAAATCCTGAACAACTCTGTCTCAAGTGCACAGTGCCGGGGTATTTCCGAGGTATCACCCACCACCGCAGCCAGAGGTCATACTTGAAATTTGTTCTGTCCAGCCATTTGAGGACTCTCCTATACCCCGGTGTTATTTCTGCACTTTGGCCCACACCACCAGGCAGTTCTTGGCTCCCACACCACTGAGGGGCTGACCCTAAGGAGGTGCATCTCTTTCAGACAGAATGCTTGCTCCTCCCCACGCACTGCCTTGCTGTGGCCATCTTAAAGCCAGAAGGCAAAATACAAAGACAATGAAATTTTGCTGAGTTTGCACTGAAAATGTCTGTGTCAATTAAAAACTGCTTACTGCAGGAGGAAACAAATACCTGAGACGGACTAGATCTGTAAGTGCTGCTGTTGTATTAGGTAGCCAGAAAGCCCCAAAATAAAGAGCTCTTGATCAGCTGCCCATCACCTGCTTATCTGCAAAACGCACTGACTGGCCACTCCTAGCTCCGTTGGCCAGAGGCCTCCCTGTTACACACCTGGCTAAATCTTTTCTGCCAGGTATAGAGGATGCAAGGGAAAAACCTCCCTCCTTACCCTCATATCCTCCTGCTGCTGCTTAAGCTGCTCGTGATCAATAGCCGGAGGGGGCAACTGGGCAATCAGCACCTGCGTCTCTTCAATCCACGGATTCAGCTCTTCATACGTCTCCCAGAATTGGTTGACCAGGACCTGTGCCCGCTCTAAGCGGGCATAGCGCTCCGAGTTGAGCTGGCTAACAGCTTCATACTGCTTCACCAGAGACTCTGTTTTCTCCTAGATGGAATGGGAGAAGAACACAGAGTTGGTGCTGGACAGAGGAGCAAAAAAAATAAGCCAGCTAATGGGAGCAAACAGAAGTGGTAGAAGACACTTGTGGTGGAGTTGGGTGATACTGGATATCAGAAATCATTCGACAAGCAATTTCCTATAAACGTCGCAACACAATTAAAAAGCCAATAAATGGGAAAAAGATTTCAAGTGGGAGTGTTTGGAATGACTGCAGGTGGGTTGAATTTAAAAACCAAAAGGAAAAGAAACAAGGAAACAGATGCAAGAACTGTATGGTCCACTTCCCACGCCACGTCTTCAATGCATCACTTGCCAGGAGTAGATCTATTTGAAATGCAGGATCTAACCTTCTCCTTTGCACAATACCCATGTGCATCAGAGGCGCTGGTTTACCTGTAGAACTGCTTTCTGTTCCTCCCCGCATGTTCCAAAGATCTCGTTTCGCTGGCTGAACAGCTCATCCATCGAATCTTTGTGCCGAATGATGTCTATGGAAAAAGCCTGTGGGAAGGAAATGTTCCAAAAAGAAAAATCAGAATAAACCATAAGCTTCATCTCCAACTGAACCCTTTGCTCTCCCAAGGTGGCTGTACTGGGGAGTGGACACCAGGTGCTCTGTCAAAGCAGTCAGATGCCTGACCCCTCACCGACTGGAGGCCACTTCTACCACGCAGATGAGAGACAGATTGCAAATACTGGATCAGATGTCCTACGGCACGCTGAAAAACCAACTTTGTAACACAGTCGCATTTCCTTCTCAACTGTGCTTTGGAGTTGCATTCTCCTTGCTAACTTGCCCTCTCTTTCAAAAGCAGGGCAAAAAAATGGTTGAAACGAGAGATTGTGTTGGACTCAGAGAAAGCAGGGTCCACCTTATGCTCATTTATGCAGTACATCAGGAACTCACTACAGCCTTCCAGAAAGCATCCTTCCTAAAACCCCAGAGGCAACGGCAGAGCCAGGAGAAACCGACTGACTTCTATGCACCTTACAGAAAAGGTGGAGAGACAAAGTATTGGATGGATCCCACTTCTAATCCTTCCACTAATTTGCTGTGAGACTTTAGGTAAGTCAAACCATTGGAGGTCTCAGGTTTTCCATCTGCAATCTGTTTCATGGGGGTATTACAGGCTGGATTTTATGTAATACTTCAACGTACTTGGAGACAAAACTGTAGGTGGAAGAAGGTGCAGTAGTGCAAATAAAATGTATACCCGAAGGGTCATATGATTATAACAAGATCCTCACAAGGAGCTGGAAGCTAAGCCTAGCTCAAATTACCTTCATATGTGCTGGCTGATTCCCTCACCATTTTAACAATGATTTTTTTTTTTAATTCACAAAATCCAATAAGAATTTATGTTTCCATTATTATAAAGCCCCCAGAACCTTTCATTTGAAGCCATGCCTGAGGGAGCTGTTATTAACTTATTTAGCAAGTGTATTTTTTTTTCTATAATCTTCTATAATCTCAATGCATTCCATTGCAATGAGGTGGTCATCACTCCCTAAAGAGGCAATTTCCCATGTCTCTTTGCCCCAAATGGGGACGTCAGGAGGGACTCCAGAGCCACTAGAATGCTCCACTGAAAGGAACGGGAATTGAAAAGCAAATGTTAACTACATGTTAAACCAAATGCCGCATTTCCCTATCGACATTACATCTGCCATCTTTTGTGACCTTCACACCCAGATCTTTACATCCATGTTAGATGCTTCCAAATGAAGCTCGTCTCCCAAAAGGAGATTAAAAACCACAGAGCTCTAACCACGATGTTCAGTACTAGACACTTAACAGGGAGTCGATAAGATGGCTAAACACTCCGCAGTCTGGGGTCAGGGGTGCAATATGGTGCTAAAAGTAAGTGCATGTACAAGCAGTGGTTGGGCATTAAATGGAGCTATAACTGCTATTAATGCAACTCCATCTGGACTCTGCACACCACCATTTCATGAAAAGTAGCTCCCTGTGGGCTACCACAGAGAATCTGCAAAAAGGGGGGAACCTCAAACACACATTTATTCGTGCGAGTAGATGAAAGTTTTGCTAGCATTACCATAGATGGTCTATATGCCCTAAAGGGAATGCAAAGAGAGATAATTACATCTGCACAGAGTTTTATCCCCCTTAAATTAGGGTTGTACAAAGACAGAAGTTAATAAGCCAGTGAAGGAAATGTGCAGAATCTTATAGATTCGAAGGCGTCTAAAAACAGAGGTCTAAACAACTGGAAGCTTGTAGAAGTGGGATGCATGGCAGGCCTGCGGTTAAAGCAGTAGAGTCCTCCATGTGAGGAGTTGCTTGTGTCGAAACACAGGTAATTTTTAACCTATTTGAATGATTCTGTGGTACTCAAAAATTCAGGTATATCTGCTAGATAGGTGATGCTTAGTTGTCTAAATCACCATTTTTTCATAGATTCATAGATGTTAGGGTTGTAAGGGACCTCAACAGATCATCGAGTCCGACCCCCTGCATAGGCAGGAAAGAGGGCTGGGTCTAGATGACCCCAGCTAGATGCCTATCTAATCTCCTCTTGAAGACCCCCAGGGTAGGGGAGAGCACCACCTCCCTTGGGAGCCCGTTCCAGACCTTGGCCGGGTTCTTGTCTGTCACTTGTAGAGGAGATGGGCGTTTTGCTATTCTCTGGTGTTTCCAGACCCAGCTGCGTAAAACTACCATGTCTCTTCAAAGTAAGATCGTGTTACAATCCACCCAAAAAAGTCTCCACCCTTCCACCCAAATGATTCACCTTCCAATACCCCAAATCACCCAGGCCAATGAGCTGGCCCATACTTTGTCGTGCTCTATGGAAGCAAACGCATTCTTCCCCAGCTAAAGCTGAGCTAATAAACTATCCATGCTTCCTTTCCAACACTGGCTCTAGCCAGTGAATTCATTTCTGCTTTTTGTGACACACCAATTAGTTGTTCCACTGGACTCAGCACCTCTGCTTCAATGAGGCACTTTCTTCTCTTCACTGCCCTGGACAATTAGCAAGGTTTTGTCCACTCCATCATGTAACAAGGCAAAGAAGTGCATGCACCGTGCACGTACCTTTTGGACCTGCAGCTGGGCTGTGGTTTGGTCTTGCTCCAGACGAATTGGACCAAGGGCCATCAATTTCCGTTTGGTCTCAGTCACCCAGGCTAATTCTGCATCAGCAGCTTGCTCATACTAGCAGACAGGGAGAGGAGACGGAGCGCAACAAGTTAGCGGAGCACACAGCGAGGACAGCATCGATACAGGCACACCAGCAAACACGACACCGCGACATACATCTGCTACAGCAGGGACAGCGGTCTTGCAGGGCATCTCGCCTCTCAGGGAAGCGTGGCACCACTGCACACATGGTACTCACGCATGGCTGTAACACAGCTGCCTCTAAGTGCCCATACGCTCAGTTCTCCAGGGCAGCACAGTATGCACTCAGCAAAAGTGTCCACAAGACACCGAGGTCCCAAATAAAAGCAGTGTGGGTTCATCAAGAACACCGGGGAAACACGCAGCAACATGCACACATAACAGCAGGTCTGACACCGCGCAGAGCAAGGACACGGCTGGGCACTGAGCTGCAGATGCCACATACAGGCAAGAGAGGCAGGGAAAAACAGGACCTTAATGCCAACACTCACAGGTACATTTGACTGGGGAGGAAGTTACCCAATGGATTTAGGTTTGTTCAGCCTGTTTTTTTTCATGCCAAGCAGAAACAACCGCTGCTTTACTTTAAGTGGTCAATAATTGTTCAGCAATACTGTGGGAACATCTCCACGGAGAGATGCCCCCTCATCTGACAGTGATAAATGTCCGAAAAGGAGGCTGCTCCTTTTGACAACCATCTGCTTCTGGCTTTGTGCAGACTGCAGCAGAGACCAGACTCTTTCACGCAGTGAAACTGCAGTGACAAACTACATTTTCCTCCCAGTACGAGAGATTTTAAGAGGCAGCACCCCTCCTTGCATGAGATTACAGAAAATAGCCCTAGGTTTTATACATGTGATTCATAATAGACAGGCCAACTGTGGAAAAGGTTAAATGTTCAAATACTCACTGAGATTTCAGTGCACTTTCTAAACTTTGCAAACATAATCCATAAGTATTGGACTAACCGCAGGCAGCCATTGAAGAGCGACTCTGGCTGGAACAGGGTACTGCTGCTTTAGCAGGTTTTGAAGCACAGAGCAGCACTGCACCGACCACATAGCACTGCAGAATATAATAAAGCAAGCCACCCACGCCTTGAAAGCTCTCTCTCTCTCTCTCTCTCTCCACAGGGAGAGAAACCCCTCTTTTACATGGCCATTTTTCTGGGTGCGTTCTGCTTGGGCTCAGAGCCCCTGGCATGGAGCACAGTCATCACTGCACTGTCCAAGCCACAGAAAACAGGACTTAACAAGATTCATATTCTGGGTACGTCCACATGATAGCAGAACGGAAGATTTAAATTTCTGAGCCTGGAAGTCACCTCTTTTGGACAGTCTGCGCGAGAGCTGCAGCACTAGATTCATACACAACTCGAAAAGGCGCCGGGTTGGCTCATCAAAACAGCCCAAAGCTGGACTGGTGAGAAACCAGCTCAATTCTGTCCACAGTTCCAGCCCGCAGATTCCCAAGACAGCTCATTTCTCAGCATGGGTTTACGTTCTGCTTTGGCTCCCCCAGCCTGCAGCGCTCATTCCTCAGGCTGTAGTCATACTGCTTGGGCCGAAGTGGTGGTGAGTCAGCTGCCTTTCTGGAGACCCCCTCTCCCCAGCGTGTTACCCAAGGAGGAAGCTGGCTTTAGAGCATTACCTGCTGAGACCTTTGTATAGCAGCATCGATTTCTTCCACTCGCTGCTTGATGGTGTCACTGACCAGCTTGTACCGCTCGTTGGTATCAGACACGAGTTTATCCAGCCCTTCGCGGGCTCGCCAGGGCACCAGCTCCAGCAAGGCACGGCTCACTTCGTTCACGGTGTCGAGCACCAGCCTGCGCTCCATGACCTCCTTCTTGAGCTCCTGAAACCCACACAGACAGAGCATACCGAGTACTGTGCAGTCTACTTTCACCTACTGCACAGAAAAGGCCGCTACCTCTGCAACAGTTCTGAGGCCAAGTTCCCTTCAATCTCTCCGATGCTGTAAGACTTGCAACGGATCTATTCACCAGAGCGTGAGCAATGCCGTTACATGGCAAGAGGGTCCAGGGCCCCGCAGGAAGAAGGACAAGGGCAGCCATACAACAGTTACATTCAAACGGTTGTGTGACCAGCTGGATGCCTCCAAACCTTTAGACCAGACTCTCTTCCTCCTTTATAAATCACTAATGGTGGCTAAGCTCATGTGTCCATACCCAGCCCTCAGGAACCAGGCAAGAATGAAGATGGAGAGGGCCTGGAGGATGGGAATCTCCTGGGCCACCAAGTCCAGCGCTCTGCTCTCGCTGGCAACCGTGTTATTTAAGCCCGTCAAGATCCATCTGAAAATGAGTCACACGAAGTTGCCCTACCTCTCCTGTTGGGAGGCTGTGCCAGAACCACTTACCTTTCAGCCTAAATGTATTCAGGACCATCTTGTTCCCATCTGCTCTTGTGCCAGCCTTCTCTTTTAACCAACAGTTATTTTTTTCTTCCTCTCCACCCCACCCCCTTCCATTCCCCCGGCACATCTGTAGATAGCAGTCACATCTCCCCCACAGGCTTCACAGACTAAAGAAGCCAAGCTCTTTTACTTTTCTCACAGAAGATCAGCTCCCCTTTCCCGTGATCATCCTGGCAGTGTTCTTCACACCTATTCCCGTTTGAATCCATTTTGCTTGAATATGAGTGACCAAAGCTGCATGGAGCATTGCAGCTCCCCCCCAGCCTTGTGGAACAGCATTAATGATTCCCTAGCTCTATCTGGAAACCCGTGACTGATCGTATTTCCCTTTCTCAAAGCCGATGTGGCAACACACGGTGAATCAATCAGTGGCTTCTACACCCAGGTCTTTCTCTTCCCTGACTGCTCTTCTTGCTATTTCTACATGGCCTCGCACGTCAGGCTATAAGACTTCATCCTATTCCTGTTACTCCAGTCCATGAGATCATTGAGCTCTTGCTGTCAACTTCTGTCTCTATTGACAATGTGCCATCAGCAAGTTTCACAAGTATACTCCTACTTTCTGAGACAAGGAAAATATTACATAAGATCGATCCCAGGAATGACCTTGAGGAACTGCATTAGCAGCGTCCCCCTAGCCTGACACTTCCCCTTCTAGCACTACCCACCGTCACACCTCCCTTCTAGCCAGCTCCTTCTGCACTGCACGGTTCTTGTACTACCTGTCATCTTCTCTACCTGAACGGATAATTTCCCATCAGGGAACACAGCGCCTGTTTTACTGAAGACCAGATAAAGTAGATCAACCCCTTACCTCTAGAAAATTAGTTCTATTTGCTAATATATCAGGTTAGCCTGGCACGATTTACCTTTTGTAAACCCATGCTGCCTTTTATCCTGTTTTCCTCTCCCCTCCATGTCTTCAATTACTCTTTCCTTTAACATTTGTTCTAAGCAACGCGTGCTATTGAGGTTGTACTAACAGGTGCCGGGATCACCCTTAAAGACAGGTAACGTTTGCTATTCCCCCATCACTCTGTGTCATTCCAAATTTGCTTAATTCATTAAAAATACTCGTTGCCAAAGCTACAGTTGCATCTGCCAATTTTTTTTTTTTTGGATGTCTGGGGTGAAGATTATCCAGTCCCCCTGACTTGAGTACACCAAGTCCTTTCAGTTTTGCTTCCACCTTGAATGTGGCAATATCCATTTCCATAACCTCACTCATTCGCCACACTGCATTTACCCTCATGTTCATCACAACCATCGTTAGCAGCAGCAGCAGCAGCCCTGCACCTTCTGAATTCTCTGACATAGCTTTCTTTGCTGATCAATCCTTTTTAACTAGGTGCTCTGCTCACACCCTTTTCAGGTGGGTATTTGTCCAGTCAAGTCAGCAGCTCTGCCCTAAAGTGTTTAAAAAAAAGCGGGGGAAATGTGTTGCAGATAGTTATTGCAACTTGGATTGATTTGAAGTAGGCCCAAGGCTCCTCTACATTCAATCCCCTAAAACTTCTTAATCCAGGTGACTGCAACAACTCACTTGCTGGCTTTAGCCAAGTCTACTGTTTGAGGATTGTGAGCCTTGGTTACAGACTGTCTTGTGTTAATCCTTTCATTTAATTTAAGTCAACTTGTAATCGCTTGGTCCAAGGCTAGTTCCCATAACTGGTGCTTCTATAATGTTGCCACTGCTTAAACTCAAGTTTAAGATGGCATCACCTCTCACTGATTTAGCGACTGTTGGATGAAGTGGGTTATACTGTTATTAGGAGCATTTGTTCTGCAATGTGTACCTGGGAAGTGAAAGTCTCTCAAAACGACAACATTACTGGACATCTCTCTCTCTAATGACCTCTACCCATACCTAAATGTGATCTTGGGGTCATTAACAGACACCCAGTGCTACCCCAGGAGAACCTCTTACCAGCACTGCCTAAAAGGAATTATGACTCGGACATTTTCTGCATTATCCAGGCTTTCCCTTATTTCTCTGCAATCTATTCAGATCATTAACATATAATGCTATCACAACCCCTTCTTTCCTCTTCACCCATTGTTTCCTGCATAGCACATATCCTTCAATACCTGCACCACGGCCTGGCAGAGGGAGAGGACTCCATCCGTATGAGGCAGGATGGAAGGAAGTTCAGAGGAAATGGCAAATGGGTATTTCCAAACTGACGTGCTTTGGGAATGTGCGAAGAGCCAAGGGCTGAGGAGTTGGGGAGAGGCAGTTAGGAAGGGCCTTGAAGATGAAGAATAGTCATTTGAATTTGATGGGGTGGGAATTGGAGGACACCTATACACGAGCACGGAGGCTGCTCTGACACGCTGGAATTTCAGCACTTCAGAGCAGACTCAATTAATCGAGTTTGCTGGACCGTGGCAATTGCACTCCAGCAGCCTCCTGTGTCTCATGTATCAGTCTCCCCATGCTTAAAAATGGCAGTAGGGCCGCTTGAACTAAAGCTTGTCGAACAAGCTTTTGTTCAAGCACCCCCGCTGCCATTTTTAAGCGCAGGTACACTAATACACAGGACACGGCAGCGCTTTAATTAGAGCAGCTCTTGAAGCCGCTGTAATTAAAACGCCGCCCCCTCCACCCCCAGAGCATGTGTACCAGTGCCTGGGGAGTCTGTAAGAAGGCTTCAAAGAAGGGAGCAACAGAGTGATGGGGAAGGAAGATGACCTTAAGAAGTGCTTACTGCATGGTCTGGAAGGTTTTGATGGGAAGAAGGTGGTAGAAAGGAGACAGTGACAGGCAGCATATTTTCTGCTTTTGTTTATGCATTAATTGGTCTTTACATGAGCTTTGAGATGTCTGCGATTCAGCAATCTATATGCAGAAAAATCACCGCTTCCCTCAGTTGTTTCCCAAAGCAAAGCACTGACACTTTTCCCTTCCACAACCCCCCTATCATTGTACTCAATGAGCAAACTGTCTCATTCTACATGATATCCTCTCCATCTCATTCACAAGTTTTCTCAATGCAATATGCAGCTGCCCCACCCCCAGTGCCTTTCCTTCCAAAGAACCACTCACCCCTGTCTTTGGCTGCTGATTTTAAAAAGCTCTCACCTTTTGCCTTTGCTGGAACTGGGGGATCTGCTCTCCAGCAGGCGACTGCCCTCCACTGGACAACAGCTCCTCCTCCACCTCGCTCATCCAGCTTGTCAGCTCCTCGTGCGTAGACTGGAATTTGGTGGCCAGTTGCCGTGCCTGCTCCAACGTCCGGAGCGCCTTAGAGCTAGTGGCTGTGATATCCGAGTAACGAGTCTTGATGCCGTCCAGCTTCTCCTGTATTAGCAGCACCTCTTCCCCTGTAAGATGGAGACGCACAGTCAGTTCTGCATGTCTAAAGCTCTGGGCTTTCTTTTTAAGCAACTTGTTGTTCTGCTATTTTAAACAGGTACTTTTAGAGGCTAATTTTTTATTCCAGATCAGTGCAAGCAAGAAGTTATTTTTACAGGCAAAAAGCTGCTCCTGCTGTTGATATTTTCCTGCCAACCAGAAACACCTCGCTTGTTCCCACAATGGAAATGAAGCCAGGAGCAAAGTCTTGTTTCATTTGGACTTGCAATAAAGTCTAAAGCAAACATTGCTAAGTTCTTGACTAATGAAAGAAAGAGAGAGTCATGTCTCTCCAGAACCAAGAGAGAGACATGACTCTCCTCCTGTATGAGAGGAGGGGAAACCAAATAACTGTGCTGGTCTTTTTTTTTTTTGGTAATAAAGATTTGTCTAAGGCAGAGGTCCTCACATTTGTTCACAGCATAGACTTCATCTCAACAGCTTGCCTTGTATCACCTCGCCTCCCCCTCATAAACAAATCACACCCACGTGGCAACGGCAGCAACTGCTTACATGGGAAAGTAATATTAAGGAAGTCCTTAGCATATTTTTAGCTGCTTTCCATGTGATTTAGCAGCTGGAAACTAGAAAACAAAAGCGTCTACCCTATATTACATGCCAGCTCCATGCAGACGGCCAGCAAATGCCTTGTAGAGGCCTTTGGAGACTTCTGCTCTACAGCCAGTGCAGCATGCTGGAGACCTTGGCATTCAGGGTCCACCAAGCAGGAAGAATGCATGAGGCACATCAGCCACCAAGCTAGATGTGAAACGACTCCTGCAGCTTCTCAAGAGTCCAAGAGGAAATTAGATTCAAGGATAAACAGCCTCCTCTGAACAAATTATTGCAGCTGACAGCAGCCAGGTTTCTAAACCAGAAGCTTGACCGAGGAAGTGGTGACTCTGAGACTTGCCCGGGGCAGGGGGGTCTGAGGAGGGTCCAGAATCTAGTCCCTTTTTCGGATTACCTGTTGTTTGTTTCAGAAGCGCTTGCCCGTTTTTAATGGCTTGGTCCACATTCTTCTTTCTGTTCACAATCTCTTCATTCAGAGCCTGAATGGAAAGAGCCGACAGCAGTTACCCACCTTGACGGAGAGGCCTTTCAGCACTGCATGTTGGAGAGAGGACACCGATCCCAGAGAAAGTGTGACCTTTCTCTTCAGCTTGCAGGGGTTACATGGACTGGCCTGGGATTTGTTGCCTCACCTTCCTCCCTTTACTCTAAGAGAAAAGGGCTGGAAATTTTCAAGGGAAATGGTGGCCAACCTTGTTCGGTGAGGGAGCGGCTTGCAAAGCAGTTGAACCATTCAGACTACGGACCACCAGGGAATAATTCTTTTGAGTGCCCTTTGGTTCTGATGTATGAACCCTCCCATGAGTTTAAGGCTGGAAGGGACCTCAAGGGTCATCAAGTGCTGTCCAACCTTAGCTTACTTTCTCTAAATCTTGAGAGGCAGACAAGGAGGGGGGAGAAACATAAACCTGTCCTAGTGCTGGTTAAAATTAAAGTCGAGAAAACTCAAAAAATGGATCAAAACAGTCAACATAGAATAAAATAAAGCAATCAAGGTGAAAGAATGGAAAATGGCAATACCAGCTGGTCAGCATGCTGCTTCTGCAGGACTTCCTGTTTGTAATCCTTTACGAAGACCAAGCTGAGCTTGTCCTCTACCTCGGCAAGCCAGTTGAGCACTTCCACCTCATCCTCCCCAAAGAGCCTAGCGTTACACAGGGCCTGATCGAGCAAGGCTGCCTTCCGGCAGCACCGATCCTCAATCTCACTGTACCGGGCCCGAAGCGTGTCTAGCTTCTCTGCCAGCACGCCGCGCTCAGCTAGGCAACTCAGGGACGAGAGGGACTGCCCAACGCTGACTGCCTGCTTCACCTCAGGGGCACGACTCTCTATTTCTTCCTCTAGCGCCTGAAAATCCAGGATGACGAAGGCAAACAAACAAAGAAAAACGGACAACAGAAACAAAAGGGTTGAAACATGGAAATAAAAACTGAAAAAAATGAAAACACAACAAATGTAATTAATGAACAAAATAAAGATAAACTCCTCCTGGGGACAGGCATGACATGCATCAAATACCAGGTTTACAACAATACACAACATTTGTCTACGGAGAGCCAGTGGTGAAAGGTGTAACCCTTACATATGTTATATTATGGCCAGAAGCAAACAGTGGGCCTCCTACGTCATGATTCCCCGCTTGATTTCTGAAGTCACGTGGCAATTTTTCCCACTGCTCTGAAGACTGCTTTGTGCACGTCCTCGGTCATCTCATTCACGTAAGTCTAACGACGGCGGATACAGCCGCCCGAGCACATCTCGGCAAACGACTGCACGCAACACTACCGTGCACGTGGCATGGGAGCCATTTCCTACCTTGTGACGAGTGATCTGCTGCTGGATTTTGGCCGTCTGAGTACCAATGGGCTCAGAGTTGGCCAGTTTCTTCTCGGTCACAGACAGCCAGTCTGAAATAGGCTCCGTGGTTTCATGGAATTGCTTAGCCAGAACCAAGATATCTTCCAGTTGTTTTTGCCTACGTCAAGACAATAACAGAACAGCTGAGGACGGAGCAACTTAATGTCACTGTAAATAGCATGCTGCGTCAGGAAACTTTTAATGCACTGCAATGGAAACAGGGGGCAGAGTGCAAATACCCTGAAACAAAGCACTGGAAAGGGGAACAGAAGTACCTCTGTTCAGTACCAGGTGTAACACCTTGTCAGGCAAACTGGAAATGCAAACACACACCACATTCCAACAAACTGCAGACGAAGCCTCCTTCCCCAGATGTTGCTTTAGGGTCCAGTCCAACTTCCATTGAAGTCAAGAAAAAGACTGCCATTATACTGCTGTTCTATCATTAATGGCATCATCACACAGAGACCCCCAAAGTGACTGCTAAAATCCAAATGTCAAGCTTTTAAAGGCAGTTTGGTGCAAGGCGTCAGACTGACAGCTCTGAAGCCTGCAGCCCCCTTACCCCCGCCAGAATTGCAAATATCAGTAAGTGGATTTGGCCCTTATGGACAGCCCTGCACCTCATTATATTACATTATGCAGCCATGTGCATCTTGTAAATGAGATTCAGGCAGCAGAAAGGTGTAAATATACACTGTGGTTGAAGCAGAAAGTCAAACTCCAAGGAATAAAAATAACACACACCCTGTGAAGGGAATTAATCTCGTCTAAGCATTTCCACAGCATTATAAACTATGCCATCTGCTTCACCCTCCCAAAACACATTTGGTATCTCATGTTTTTCTGATCACTGCTTCCAGGATATTTCAGTAAAGGAATCTCACTGGACTTTCTAAATGTTGCGTTCCCCATGATTACAAAATGGCCCACAAGACTGACCAGTGGATTAACACAGCTGCAAATCTGAAGAGCTATGTTAGCAGAAAATATTTTGAACATCAGCTACATCAGCTGGTTCATTAATGCATACTAAAAACAGTTCAAAAACACACGCACCACAGCTTCCACCACTCAGAAAGCAGCTTACAAGGATTCATTATCATGGGCTGCAGTGTAAATAATAAATGATAAAATGTATCCTTTTATTCATAAAGCGGCCCCTACCCTGTGCAAAAAGTTGAGCTCTGTAAACTAATCTGAGATCCTTGTAGGCTGCGAAAGAAGTTGTATTACACTACCTAATACAAAGATGAAGCAGATCACTGAGATTGACTCTGGCTTACACTGCCTATTAACAATGGCTTACAATGAATAAAGAGATTCCAGCAGCATCAGAGGCGTCTCAGAAATAGTGCCCCACATCTGTCCTGAACCTTAAAAATCCCGTGCATAGGGACTGGATTGCAGCAGAAAGCTGTTAGGTTAATTCAGGGGAAAAAAAATATACGTGGGGGCAAAGGACATCACGTGCTTTCCTGCTGGGAACATCTGAGCAGGCACAAAGGAACGTCGCCCCTTGCAAAGCTGGGGGGAAATGAAACCAGCCCTTCCCACTCTCCTGACTTACCTGGCTGCTGCCTTGCTGAGCAATCCTGCCCATCGATTTTCAAGACTCTCCAGCTGGCAAACAATCTTCTCCCTGTCTGCAGGCTCGGCTGACTGCGCTATCCTCCCACCCTCTGCCTGAATCATCTCCACAGTGGCCTTGCGATCATCGAGCAGCCGCTGGAGCAGCTTTTGCATAAACGGTAAAACAAAGGAGAGGAAAAAGTCACCAAGTTACTAAATCGAGTCAGAAGAGCCGCTTTTGCCTCTGGAGACATCAAACCTTGAATTGTGTCTGAAAACCATTAATAAGCACTGGGCTGAAACCAAACCAAGCCCAGCGAGTCAACAGTGAGGTTTTCTTCTTTCCAGAGACAAGGACCAAAAAAATGCTCTGAAATGCTTTTGTTTAACAGAGAAACTTGAGATCCTGCCTGGATTCACCCCAGCTGTGCAGGTTAAGTGATAATGTTCTCTCCAATCTCCCATTCTAAAAAACTCATGTGCAAAACAGTGTTGCTGATCACAGGGTTGCTATAAATATTTTCAAACTTTTTATTTTATTTTACCACTGTTGACACATGCAAACTTTTCACTGAAGTATTAACAACACTGATTCGTAACCTGTGCTTGTTACTTTTAAAGGACCTATTTGTGTTTGGCTAGCCTTCTTATCTATATATATTTATTTTGTTCACACTCCAACACAGGCAACTATACACAGAAAAACTTCCTTGAACCTGACATAACACAGTAGCTATCGGCATGCAGAAAAACAAGTTTGCTATAAGTGAAGGAAAATAAAAACCAAACCAAGAAGGAAGCCAGCGTGTTAATACAATGCCACTGGAACGCCAGAGCCAGCTCCATGTCACGTATTAATAAATGTATGTTGTATATTAATATAAAACATATTGTATAACACAACACACATTCATTACGTACGGTATATACAACACTTTCAATTGGACTGTTAAAATAGCAGCAATGGATAACAAGACCAGGAACGATGCAGTATAATACTAGCATGCAGGTAAGCTGCAGCTGCAGATTGGTGGCTGTGCACTAGCAATGTGATGGCACAGCTATGTTTTCTCATCTACAATGAATCCCAGTGATTTCTGGATGTGTTCTGTCCCTAGCACCACTCTGCGCTCCCACTGTACATCTTGCCTCCAGGTCCCGTGCACCCAGATCCTCTATGGAGCTTGCCATGTCTGTCTTGCTTACCTTTTGCTCCTGGATCTGGGCTTTCACCACTTTGTACTCTGCAGATGGAGGTTTCTGATTGGAGATGAGGTCCTCGGTGTCTGCCAGCCAGCTCAGCAAAGGCTCCAAGGCATCTTGGAATTTCCCACAATGCAACAGGGCTTCTTGCAGCTGTGCAATTCTCTGTGCCACCTACACGGTACAAACATGCACATCGTTAGAAGCGCAGCGCTCGCAGCTTCCACCAGGAAACAGAAGACACCAATTCCCCATTGCTAGTGACTCTTCTATGTTTCAACGGCTCTTTAGACCTCTTTTGGTTCTGCTCAAACCACTCGTCGATGTTGCAGCAAACCTACGATAACATCACGCTACACCCTCCGTCGGGATCCCCCTCGCCTGCAATGCCTACCTTTTTGTTGAGAGTGTTCCAGCGGGTGTTGATCTCCTCCATGTCATGTTCCAATCCCTGCACATCACAGTTTTTCCCTGCGCTCTGGATGAGGCCCTGACCAACTCCATTCACTTGCTGCAATTTTAGCTGAAGGGGATCCACTTGCTCCTTCTGAAACAGCTGGACAAGGAAGGGGAAGTAGGCATATTTATAAGCAGACTTGCTCATCGTCTATGTCCTTACTCAGCACAGCTCCATACTTTAAAAGATAAAGTTTAGGCTACCGTTTCCAGCCATCTCTCCAGAGCCAGCCTTCCCCATTTGTTTCCTATGCTGCACTTACATGATTCAAGGATGTTAGGTTCTTAGATTGCATGCAATGAGTACTCCCCTGTCTGTGGGTGTCACTGGCCACCCAGTGTTTTGCATCTCAAGCTGTTCAATCCCATTTTCAAAGCATGGGTTCCAAGGACAGAAAAGTCACAACTCCCAAAAGTTTAAAGGTAGCCAATTGTGATTAACACCCAAGAGCTGGTCAAATGTTTAACAGCAGGCATCAAAGCGACTCCAAGTGATGCGGCTGAACCGGGACACGATGGGCATGAGGTTTTGTTAATGATTGAAATTTAAGCCGCTGGGAAACTAGCTGCATTTCTAAAGACAAAGGCAACAAGACAAAGGCAATGGACGATTAATGGGTTAGTCATTTATCTAAGATCTTACCACATATTTGGCACAAGGCTAATCTGGAAGCCATATGGAGGAAACATTTAAAACAACAAGAATTTGGGGGAATGAAGCAACCTTGCTATTGTGAGCAGAGAGAGCTGGGAAAATCCTGTTTTCGTGAGGGAGATAAGTGCCCTTATCAAACCTTCAAATCTGCTGTAATTACTTGATGACAAGCCAGACTGTAGCCACCTGCATTCATTTCCTTTCCACCACAACAGCAAGCCTTTGGCCTCAGCGAGATAGGCCAGCAAACCAAGGCCACAGCAGGCAGAAAACAGAGGCACGTGAAAAGCAAACTCTTGAGCAAAAAAAGCAGGAGGCAGAACCAGCTCTGTTGCAGCGTGACAAAGAACGCGCTCCAAAAATGGGAAATAGATGCAGATTTTGTTTATAGTGGGGCCTCGGGCTGCCAGCGAACACAGCTCACAGGTCAAACTGATGAAGCAAAATTGGAAAGGATTATTTGCTCTCCTCCATCACAGCGTCTGGAAGGCTGAAGGAGGAGAATGGAGACAGCCGCCTTCACTCTTATTCAACTATCTTCTTAAAAAAAAAAAAGACAGTATCTGAGGATGTGGAAGTCGACAGTGTTTAAACAGTTCATTTCAAATACACAATGCAAACCTTAAAAAAAAAGAAAGAAAGAAACCTTTCCAGAAGCAAAGCATGGATTAAGGTTTGAGAAGGCTTCTGGGCACCAGACAGCTGCTTTATCTCCGAAGGGATAAAAGTCAGCTTGCCTCACTTCTCTTTGCTTCATTTTCAAAAAAAGATGTATTCTTCTGTGCTGAACTTCAGCAACTTAGCTGCAGAATGGGCCTGTGCCAGGATGTTAACCTAAAGAGCGCACTGGGAGAGCGTCCAGGGCTGTGTGCTGGTGCAGAATTATTCTCCCGTTATAAGAAGTGACGGTGACATGAAATCGCTGATTCCCCAAACACTTCTCCCATTACTGCTTATATATGGAGCTGCCTGCCTAAAGGCAGCTGAACACATGAAAGGCCCAGACAGAAAAGAGAGAGGTAGTTAGCCCCGTTAGTCTGAAATCACTCAGAAGGCAGGGTAGAACTGCACCTTTACAGACTAACTAAATAAGATCTCTATAGAGAGCACAAGCCTTTGTGAACCCAAGTTCACTTCATCAGGTGCTGATAAGTCAGGCATGCAAAACCAGACTGCAGTGCACAGTGCCTTTCTTCTAATGCGCTGGCCTAAGCCTTAAATATTAAACTTGTCGTTTTCTAACCAAAGTAGACTTTAAAACTGTTGTTTTTGAGGGGGTTTTGCAGGAGCCCAATGCAAAGTCCCTGATATCTAACAATATCAAAGGAAAGCCCAGAAAGCAAAGCCCGTTTCACAAGGATCGTTTTAAAAAGCAACTGCAATGTTAAGTGCAAATACTTTTCATGCCTTTGTTCTTCTGTGTGTACAAAAGAGTCCAATGTTTTAGTTCACTTCCCCTCACTGTGACTCAACTCGGAAACAAACATTTCATGTGCAATCTAGATTTTGCACAGAAGAGCAGGGTTCTTGGAGCTGGAGCTGGCGAACAACCCTTTAAAGGGGCTGCATCTGTTTAGATACATGTCCCTCTCCTTTTGAGAAATACTTTCCAGAGACTCTCTTTGCATTCTACTTTGTTCATCTCATGGATGACTGCATCCTGTGATCTCACTCTGCTTCTTAACCCCTTTATCTCTGAACACAAATGCAGCCCGCCTTCGGCAATTCTCCACCGGCATGCTGGTGCAATGATGGAACCAACAATGCAAAGGCGATGTCCTTCGTAAGGGTGAGATGCAAGCCTGGAAGAGCATTTTGCTTGAACATTACCTTTATGTTAATAAAGGTATTATTCGTTATTACACGGCATTCCCCTGATGCAAGCGCTAAGCTCATCAACTGCACAAGCGGTAGTGAAACCATCGCTGGATCAAAGGGGTTAACAACTGGAAAGGTTTCTTATAAAATATAGTCCCACTGGAGAGGCAACAATGAAACCGAAGCAGTAAATCCAGACAACAGCCCCATGATGTCAATACCTTCATGTCGCGTTTCCTTTCCTAATTTACTGGCCGGAGTGGCAGAGCCTGGCACTTCAATCAAAGGAAACTCCTTGTAAACTGACCTCTCCTCTCCGCCCTGCTAGGTCCCCAACCTCTATTTCAAAGCATTTCTGAATCTGTGGCGCTCGTGAATTTTTTTAATGGGTGGCAGAGCACAAAGGATGAGGAACCGCTACCGAATGGGGCTGATGTGCTGAGTAACTTGTGATGACTGCTAAGTGATCATTTGGCTAACCTTGGCGGCTGTAAATGGGCCTTCATTTACTGGAATACCAGGAACTGAAAAAAGGTACCCACCCTCCTAGCCCCGTTACAACCAATTTTCACATTAAGTGGGTTTTAAAAAGCCAAAAGCAACTTGACTCCTATTTTTTCCTGGCGTTTCAGGACTTTGCTGCGCAAACAAACACACAAAGCTCCCCCTAAGCATTAATGCCATGCAAGCGGTGTTTTCACCCAATTTGCTTCACGCCATTTCCTCTAGTAACAAATTTTCTACTTGAAATGCTGCAACTACCCAGCTCGACCAGCGAGAAGAAAATCTTCCTGAAGCAATCCATAATTTATTTCTGAGGGAGCAGCATGTATTTCAATAAACCAGTCACTTGAAAAGTTTTACATAATCAAGCAAATCTCTTTTACCTCCCATATTTATGACAAGCTTTGCGTCTCCCTAAACCGTACGCTTGCCCTCCAGATCTCAATGAGGGAAGGAAGGGAAGCTACCTCAACCTTTAGGTTGCAGAGCGTGGACAGAGGAGACCGCGGTTTCTGTGTGCATCCCACAGACTATCAATAAATCATCGGCTGGGTGAGAGTCCACCCTTCCCTCCTCCCCTCACCCTGGCCAAATAAAGTGATTGTGTCTGGCACACCCTGTGTTAGTGACTGAGTAACAAATACCTCGTTATCTGGAACTAATCCATCTGTTAAAGCAGGAGGCCCATCAGCAACAAGAGGCATGACAGCAGGCCCCTTTGTGTCGGGCACTGTGGCAGTCGACTGCTTCCCTGCAGGTGCTGCAGTAGCAAGTTCTTTTCCTTGGAGATCTGGAGCTGGGGTGTCTTCCAGCTCCAAGGTGGCAAGTGCAAGCATTTTGGCCCTGTGCACAGAGGCACATGATGCTACAGGTGTGGGGACAGCAGCAGAAGGCTCCTCCAGGACAGGAAGTATAGCAGCAAGCTCCTCTTCCCTGCTGAATGGCAGGGCTGTGGTCAGCTCCTCCATCCCAGCTGCTTTGAAAGCATGCTCCTCTGAGCTGGGGTCTGCCATGATGCCAAACTCGTCCGTGCTGGATGCTGTGACATTAGAAAACTCCTGCTCCTCTGAGCTGGGGTCAGCCGTGATGCCAAACTCCTCCGTGCTGGACGCAGTGATGTTAGAAAACTCCAGCTCCTCTGAGCCGGGGTCAGCTGTGATGCCAAACTCCTCCATGCTGGATGTGGTGATGTTAGAAAACTCCTGCTCCTCTGAGCTGGGGTCAGTCGTGTTGCCAAACTCCGTGCTGGACGTGGTGACGGTAGAGAACTCCTCTGCTCCTGGAACATCCGGGGGAAGATCGGCTATACCAGATGCCATGGCAAGGGTGGCAAACTCCTCTGGACCTGCCAGCACCATACTAGAAAACCTTACCGCTGGAACATCAGACTCTAGAGCAGGTTCTTCTGCAGCTGGCCATACACATGGAAACTCCTCCGTGCTGTCTAGCCTGGCAATGCCCAGCTGCTCCAGGCTAGTGGTCATGGCTGAAAGCTCCTCATTGAAAGCAACCATGGAGGCAGGTTCTCCTGCACGAGACTGAGCAGCAGAAATGTGCTCTGCAGAAACTGGAGAGAGAGTATTCCCAGCGACACCACTTACTAACTGATCTGCCTGGCTATCTTCAAACAACGAGGCCAGGTCTCCTGGCTCCAAGATGTCTACTGCTAGCACAGAGGCGTCCAGCATTACCTGCACACCTGTTTGCGAGGCTTCTTCCCGACCCACACAGGCACGTGCAGAGACCTCTTTGCAGCGATCGGGCCCCAGCCGCTGACACGGAGGCTCCGTCTCAGACCTCAGGTCCTCGACAGATTGTGTGGATTCAACTTGTGCCTCGGAGCCCTGCTCTGGCAGCGAATCGTTTTGAAAAGATGTCTGGGAACAGTGACTATCGAAACTTTCGGTGTCGTGAATCTGGCCCTCAAATCTACTGCTGTCCTGTTCCAAGTCCGAGACTTCATCCTCAGAAACCAGTTCTGGGACATCCCAGTTGGAGAAGTCAGTCCTTTCGGACACAAGCGGCTCGTGCTCGTCTTCCACTTTGACAGCAACCATGTCTCGTGGCAAGTAAGCACCCTGTTGGGAGACCGGTCCCTCGGCCCTTGCAACAGGAGCCAACGG